ATCTTCATAAATTATTTTCGTTAAAGATTTTTTTTAATTTAATATATATTTTTAGGGCAGAAAAACCTATGGTCAATAGCCCTTTGTATCAGTTAACTTTTTTCAAATTATATATATTTATTTTGTTCTTTTTATTTCTGTATATGTTTTTTTTGTACGACTGATGCGATAAACATTATTATTATTATAGATTTTCAATATAAAAACAATAAATTTGGTTACTATATAATATATAAAATATATTTCTGAAAAAGTTTAGAAAATTGCCTTTTCTTTAATATTGTAGAATCTGCATTAAAAATTGGTTAACTTTTGTTTATACTGAGTAAATTAATGAAAATTAGCAATTATTATTAAAAATTTTTCGTTGATAAAATGTGTGCTAAAAATATACAGTTTCCTACTTCTACTTCAATTTACACTTATATTGTTCTATAAAGCAAACGTATGAATAAAATAGTTATATAATCATTTTTAGATATTAATTTCGAACTAATTATATTTTGTTAAATTCAATTAACTAATTCTACAATTAATTAGAATTTGTCATAAAAAAATAACGCAATTTAATTATAATTAATAATAGCAGAGTGTGATAAATGTACAATTATAACTTTATGATTATTTTGAAAAAAAAACACTAATAATTAAAATTAAATTAGTGAACGTTTAGAAATAAAAATTATACAACAATACTGCAATTATTTGAATTGTATATAAAATGTGTTTTATAAATATATGTATGAAAGTAATTATATTCGCATTAAAATTAAATAACGTTAACATGAAGAAAATGCTCATAAATGTAATTAAAATTACTTTTATGTGTTTTATTGGTTAGAAAACATTCAGATTTATATAAAATATTTTGTGTTTCAATGAAAATATAATTAGAAATAGAAAGACAATTACAATTTAAAAAAAATACATTTTCTAATTTAAAACATGAATAATTTCTATCATTATTATATCAAATACGTATTAATATTAATAAAGAAATAATACTTTTTATTTTTTTATTCTAAAACTGCAAAAATTGATATTTTAATTAATAAATCTAAATGTAAATAATTATATTCGCATTAAGATTAAATAATATTTAAATGAATTGAATGCACAGAAAATGTAATTAAAATTGTTTATGTGTGATTGATTGACTTGAAAACATTCCTACAGTTGCGACGAGAATAATAAAAAAAATGTATTAGGTGCGTTAATAATGCCAATTAAACTGAGCGAAAAAGCGAAGGAGGAGAGCGAAAAAAAAAAGAACAATCGTGTGCACATATCACATATTTATAACAACAATGAAATGAGGAAGTTAAGTCTTAAGATTGATTACCTGGTGTATAGTTGATATGAGATGTCTCTGACGGGATCGATGGTCGGACACTTGAGTTTCGGAATGGGGAATAGCTGTACGTAGGCGTCTTCTATGCTAACACCCGGAGGGCCTTCGTCAGAAAATAAGTAGAAATACGTTAGAAATGAAGAAGAAAGTTTAAAGTAAAAGGGGTTCGCGCCGTGTTGCGTAATAACTTTATGGATAGAAGTAAAAAAAAAACAGAGCAACAAGTAAACTCACCCGGCAGTGCGCTGAGCAAGCAGGCCAGTAGAAGGTTTCCTGCATCCATAACAAAGTCCGCACTGACGACTAACTTAAACTAAATGATATCAATGGGAAAAGTTTTGCCGGGTAAAAGTGTACCACCGCGAATTTCGTGCGCGCTTACTTCAAGCTTCTTTCCTCTTCGCGGACGCCGATGGATTGAGTCCTGGTCGAGCGACGGTGCGATATGCCCTCAACGGGAATCCTTCCTCTTACACGGTGCATTTCTTTGCTCATTTTTTTTTCTTCTCCATCAATCTTGAATGAATTAAAAGTTCACGCTCCTACATTCGTTATGCAACTGTGATTAGACCACGCGATTCGTATTCTATCGCCTACCAAACACCGGTTCCGTTTTAGCTCTGCGATACGTTCTAGCCGGAAGTAGGAAGTGTCTACTGTTTTTTCTTATCTTAGCAAATTTCTCTAAGTAAATCACGCATTATATGCTAATTTTCAGAATTGATAGTTTTACTTAATCCAGTTTGTATTTATACATTTACTACATGTGATACAAATATTAAAGATATTCTCATAAGACAAATAATATAAATATCTGTCAAGTATACTAACTTTTATATCATTTGATGTTATAGGGAACTTCTTCAGCTTATGGTCCAGCCGATGTACTCTTCGATGCTTCTGACACCCACGTACCGTCTTTCCATCTTCAAAACTCGCTATTCTCTTTAGCCCATTTTCACGCACCTTGTCACAGCGAACTTCGGGAGTGGACACCTCAAGTGTACTAACTATCATTAGTTATCTTCAGGTCTAATAACGTTGAATCTATATTATGTCAGGTTACATATAGTGTGGATGTATTCTAATATTAAATTTCGAGAAAATTAAACAAATATTCCAATTCAAAATGTTGACTGTTGATATCATAGACATAACAGATTTTTTTTAACTTTCCAAATTACACATCATTAACAAATGATAAAAAACCTCTAGTAATTTTACTTAATTGAATAAATAAATATAGTTGGGACAGCTTGGACGTCTCATGTTAGTATGCATGTACCATTTTTTTTAAAATTTTGAATCTGTTTTTATAATCTTTGAATTCTTTCCTACAAGTCTTTTGTATACTTACTGACTATTAACAATAAATAACATATACAGAGGAAGTATATTCTTTAAAAATATTGTATGCATATGCTTCAATTTTTATACTTCTTACTTCTAATTTTATGTTTATTAAAGATTATAACATATATTATGTATAGAAACTTGATAGATGTTTATAATGCTGTTATAATATATGGACCTATTATAGCTCTGCGATACGTTCTCACCGGAAGCAGGAAGTATCTAATGCTTTTCTTTAACCAAGCAAATTTCTTGCATGATATGTTAATTCCCGGAAAAGCAACAGTCATTTTACTCAAATTTGAAGCCATTAAACTTTTATTATAATTGTTATTAATATTCAATTGTAATGTTTAATATATATATTACACATTATTATTACTACAATTTTAGTCTCCTATATCTATCTTGTATCTATATCCTGTCAAAGACAAACCTAGTACAGTAGATTCCTTAATCGGGACACATCGGGCTGACCCAATTATCCGAAGTTCCACAAAAATTGACAGAATATTGTCCCGTAAAAGCGGAGTAAATTTGTGTTTAGTTTTGTTTTAGTTTTTTAGGATTTGTCCCTAATACGCGGCTGTCTCGATTAACCGGTATCCCAATTAAGCGGCTCTATATCTAAAAATCAGTAACAGCTGGTGACAATAGAAACAAGTGGAGCCTAAAACAACTTATTTTGTTTTAAGTATGTCTATTTTGACTAATTGACTAATTCATGAAATATTGGGTTCGTTATACTTAAAACCAAATAATCCTAAAGGCCATAGACAAGCACTTGTTAATTACAGTGAAATCTTGAATTATCACACGATTACTATCTTCAGTGACAAATTAACCATTAAGAAATAACATTTTTCCTATAATTGCCTTTAATTTATAAAAATGATATAAACACATTGTGTAATTTCTAATAGAATTCAATTATTACCTCGCATAGTAAGGACAGTAGGTTCCGTCAATATCCCGGACTAATCGAACCAAATAAAAGAGAAACAAAATCGCACAAAAAGAAATTTATATCCTTTTTGTCCGATCGTTTCTATTATATTTATACAGCAACATCTCTCATAGTACGGTTTAGATCAGTTCATATGAAACCCCGTGTTTTGAGGTACCATTTTCCCTGTACTGTCTGATTATGGATGCATCATTATAATATACTTTGAGAGATTTTTACTTGTATAGATTAACCAAATTTAGATAGAAGTCACTTTCAAACTTTATTATATAAACAGTATCTATATTATATTAAATAAATAAACAATATTCCTTTGACACTTGTACTTCTATTAAACAACAAAGTGGAACCTTGGTTGTCGAACATAATTCGTTCCTAAAGGCTGAACTAATACTATAAATTTTAGTATTAACACCATTCTCGTAACTAATTGCCACATTCTCAATATTATGTTTTTAATATGATGCGTTTTTTGTTAGATTTTTCAAGAACCGAAGTTCTATATTATCCTTGTCTACTTCATAAATATATTAACTAGTAAAACGTGTGTAACTTTAATTTTCTTATGTTTAATTCACATCATTTGTGACATGAGATATGACTTTAAACTGCATATACAAACTTTTATTTTTTGTTGTGCCAAATTATTATTTATTCACTATTATTTGAAGCACTGGACTGGACTGGACTGCTTCTTTGAAGCAATGACAATTGTCACACATTTATAACAACTTTTGTTTGTTTTTGAGTCTACAAAAACAGCAAAAAAGTAGTAACCTTTAGGCCTATTTATGTAATTTTATAAAATGATTTTAAACATCTTGCTAAGAATTTAACTTTATACTAACCACTAAGAAATTATAATAAACGTATATTAAAATACTTGCTTCATTATTGATAAAATAATATAACAAACAAAAACAGTTTTATCTCCTACGTTTTTTTTTTTGCAGGAAACAGGAAATATCTGCGCAAATTTCTCTAAGTAAATCACTCATTGTATGCTAATCCCAGAGAAACCAGTAGATTTCAGCCACTGAAAGATCATCGAAACGAATCTTCCCATCATCGACAAAACAAAGACGTTATTGTTCATAATCATCTAACGCCAGATATTATATAAACGACTTCGCAAGATTTTTGCAATTTATTTAACACACTTTAGCAATAATCGGTGATTGTTAGCATCACGGTGATACGGCTTTTCTACACGAAGAAAATATTTAAAATTAAAAGAAAAAACCTCTTGTCCTATTTATGTAATATGATATTTCCACATCGATCTTTAATTTGTAAAAATTATATAAATATATTGTGCAAATTCTAGTGCAATTCGATTATAAATTACTCGTATAATTGACTAATTTTGTGTATATATATAATTCAGTATATAAAATCGTACAAAATGATAATTTAATAGAAAATTATTTTTTCGTATATTTTTATTATTCATTCATAAATAAAAATCTATTGATTCTAATTTTTACATTTTTTCCGTTTCTTTCTATTACATTTAAAAGTAATACATCGCACAGTCCGGATTCACTATAGTCCGGTTCGAAAATTTAAAAAAAAACTAAAATTTAATTGTACAAAAATAATAAAAAATCAATTCTCTTTTTATATGTCCCTCGAATAGTCCGGTTTCAAAAACAGATATTGCTGTATTTGCAGTACTGCTTCTTGTATGCATATTTTCAAATAAAGAAAACACTTATGAAAGTCACATAAACTTGTGTGATTTTCTTAAATAAATATCCAGAAATATCGAGCATTTACTAGTCTTCAAATGAGATCAAATCGACCGCAAATTTCCAAACAACACGCGTCCACTTTGCATATAACATAAAGCCTTTTTTAAATTAATTAATAAACACTTTACTTAGTATGAGAAGTAATTCGACTTTATTGCACGCAATTACTGGTGAAATTTATTGCGCTGTTATTTAGTCAAGCGAATATGAACTATGTTTGTACACGCTGCACGCTAGTTGAGGCCATGGATTATTACAAGTAAAAAAATATTGAAGTAATTGAAAATTTTGCAAATGCATATTGTTTTTCCTTTTTTTTTGCATTTTATTTTGAAAGTTTTATTAGGCAAAAATTGTAGAGATTTATGCAAATCGGTGCCAATTTAGTAATATTATTGCATTACGTAAATGGCACAAAATATTCGTTTGGTATAAAAATTTAAAAAAAAATATGTTGTTGCTAATTAGGTTTATTAGTGATTTATTATAAAATAATATGTAATTTATTTATTTCGATAAAAATAGAAGAATATATTGATACATTTATAAGCTAAATTATAATTAAAACATATGTAAAACAGCGTTTATCAAATTAGTTGCTACTCAAAATTGGGAGGCAAAAAAGTTGAGAAACTCCAGTATAAAACTGTAATCAATTACCTGTAAAAAAAACATGAAGTACAAATTAATATAGTGACTTAAATTTTATTATTACATAAGATCAAACTTGTGAAATTTGTTATAATTATAGTTTAAATAATTTTAATAAAATACTTCAAAATCAAAATCACTGAAGTTCTATTGATTTGTATCAAATTTAATATTTAAACGCAAATTTTATAATCTTTATTGCAACAGAACCGACTCACCATTGCGTCGCAAATGACAGCTGTCACTTTATGTCAAATGTTGAGAAACTCTGGTATAAAATATAGTTCTGAAGACGACAGGGACATTTATAATACTGAGATTTGCATCAAATACCTGTAAAAAAATAACATGAAATACAAATTAATATTGTGACTGAAATTTTGTTATTACATAAGATCAAACTTGTGAAATTAGTTATAATTATAGTTTAAATAATTTTAATACAATCCTTCAAACGATATCTCTTTTTTTTTCAAAATCACTGAAGTTCTATTGATTTGTATCAAATTTAATATTTAAACGCAAATTTTATAACCGACTCACGATTGCGTCGTAAATGACAGCTGTCAATTTATGTCAAAAGTTGAGAAACTCTAGTATAAAACATAGATCTGAAGACGAGCAGAGACATTTATAATACTGAGATTTGCATCAATTACCAGCAAAAAAAAAACATGAAGCACAAATCAATCTTGTGAGTTTAATTTTGTTATTACAGATCAGACTTATG